GCCCTCTTGCTGTGACCATCACTGGTAACTGGCAAAGCAAGATGACTGAAATTTCCCCACTTCATTTCCCATCACCCACTGGGCGTCTCTAATGGATATTCCCTCCAGCTTTATCATACGATCTGGTCTCCAGACATAATTCCCTCCAATTTTCTCCACAAAGGAAAAATAATTTTTTTAGTCCTGGTGACCTTACACATTTTTCCTAGGGTTAAATGGACCCTAACAACACATCCCCAACCACTGGAGCATAAAGACACCTGTTATATAGCGTTCTATGTTAACATGAATTTGGATGGGCCTCCTCTAATCCACCAGCTCAAGGGCAGGTCAGATGCTGGGGCATCTGTACAAATACAGGCCCTTCTTCCACCTGGTGATTAATGGGCCCACCTGGTTCTAGGCTTTAGATGCCATCCCTTCCATTCCCCTATCGCACAGCGTATCAGCTCAATTTTCAGGTCCTGACAACAGGGTCCAGACTTGTCCTGTGATTCTTGCCCATGTTACTTTGTTTGGCTCTCCTATTATCAACATTCAAGCAGGCAGATGCTTTAGTATTTAATTTACTCTGCAAATATTATTGCAAAAGCTAGAAGAAGTATAGTACTGTGTTCATGAAATAGTATGCAGTAAATACCTTCTCATAGACGGCAGGCTCGACATCAGTCAGTGTACAGGTGAAATCACTGGGCTGAGGGAGAGCTGACCTGCCCCAGACCCACAGGTGTCACCTCTCAGGGCAGGAGTGGAGCCAGCGCTACATGTACAGGGTGTCAGTCAGAGATGGGGACTCACATTGGTCTTTCTGGTTCCCAGGAGAAGTAACATCACTGATGACACTCGTGTCAACATCCAACACCCCTGGCAACCCCACTATAAATTTCAGACATCCCATTACCATCGTGATCCTGAATTTGCATCCTTGCAGACTGAAATGCAGGTGGTGAGGCCACATCCTCAGTGCGCACAGTGAGATGGGATGGAGCTGTGCTCTGCTCTCCAGCACCATTTACTTATATGACCTGAGGCACAGTCCCAGGACTCAGTGACTCAGGGACTCAGGAAAGCTCTCACGTGGACTTTTCAAGGGAACCTGCTTCCTGAGGTGAGGACTTTCCTCTGACCATGACACCCACATACTCTGCAAGCCATTCACTGTGAAGGTTTACTTCCAAGAATCATGCATGTTCCCTCACCCAGTGCAGTGGGAACTGTGTTCCCTGAGCTCCAATGTCACTGGCTGTGACAGGGAGAGTAAAAATGAACACTTCTAGAACGAGTGAGTCTGTGCACTGTGACCAGGTCACCTGCCCAGCATGTTGGAGTCCTGAGGAGCTTCCAGGAGCTGTCTGTTCTTAGACCTTGCTAGCCCTGGGGATTCCTCAACGTCCACCTGCAAGGAAGGAGCCCTGAAGCTCGCACTGTTCCTGCAGACACTCAGTTGTGCACAGGAAACAGGCAGGTCAGGCTTCAGGCCATGTCAGCAGTGCTAGGATCCATGACCATCTTAGCAAGAATGATTACCTTGTCCACAAAATACACAGTGTGTTTAGTTGTTATGAATAAATCCACCTCCAGAGTAACTCTTGATAACATTTAAACTGTTTCAGGTGAAGAAATGTTCACCCAAATTAAGGGAAACATGAGCTCTGTTGTGAATTATGATAAACATTAAATTTTACCTCACTCTGTCTGAATTCAATGTTATTATTACATGTATGGTTTGTCTCAAATACTTGCACATCCAGGAAATAAACATGAGGTAATGCAGAAAAGAAAAAACAAGAGTCTGTGACTGACATCTTGGAAGACCCTGAATGTGTGATGGGTATTTATGTGAAATATATACATCCATGGAATTAAAGTCTACTGCCCAAATCTGCCATTAATCCTTGAGCACAGCTGATTTCCTGACAGCCCTTCAGCATCATTTCATTCCTGGACACTGAGTCCCCCAGGCATAGGGAGGGGACCCCAGGTGGGGGCTGAGTTCTCTGAGGAAACAGTCAGCAGCGTCCTCAGGTGGAGTCTCAGAGACTGGGACCTCCCTTCACTACTTTCTGCTTTTTATAAAAAGGTCCCTCCCTTATGCCAATATCCCCTTAGACCACAAGGTAAAAACAAAGTACCTGTTCACTTAAATTCGGGTTTCTCCTCATGCTTGAAGAGAATTTCTGGGCTTCAGGAATCTCATCTGCAAGAAGATGAATCCAATGTGGTTCTTCCTCTTTCTGGTGTCAGCTCCCAGAGGTGAGGGTCTCAGGGATTCAGACGTGATCACATAGGGAAGCTGCATCTGAGCCCATGAGTCACCGTGGTTCTCTCTGTCCACAGGTGCCCTGTCGCAGGTGCAGCTGCAGGAGTCGGGACCCAGCCTGGTGAAGCCCTCACAGACCCTCTCCCTCACCTGCACTGTCTCTGGATTCTCATTAACCAGCTATGGTGTAGCCTGGGTCCGACAGCCTCCAGGAAAGGGGCTGGAGTGGGTTGGTAACATGTGGAATGATGGAGACACATATTATAACCCAACTCTTAAGTCCCAGCTCAGCATCACCAGGGACACCTCCAAGAGCCAAGTCTACTTATCGCTGAGCAGCCAGAGAACTGAGGACACAGCCGTGTATTACTGTGCAAGAGACACAGGGAGGGGAAGTCAGTGTGAGCCCAGACACAAACCTCCCTGCACGGGGGCCCGTTACCACCAGGGGGCGCACAGGACCCACCAAGTACAGGGCTGAGGCCTGTGGCAGGTGCAGATAGGGGCTGGGAGGGAATTCTTGTTAGAACCTGTGCTTTCCTCTTCCTGCCCAGGACCTCTACCAGAGACCCTGTTCTGTATCCTAATGTTTCGTTGCTGTGGATTATGAAGTGTCTAGAAAATTTTGTGTGCGTGTACATATTTGCTTAATTTTTATTTTCATTATAGTTGTATATATATATATTCATATGCACAGACACATATAATACTCAAGAATTAAGGTTGTTTTTCATTTCTTTATTTACCTTTTTCTCAAAGGAGCTCAAAACAACCCTGCGGCTCACCATAATTTTCAATTTGAGCCTGAAGTTCGTGAAACTTGTAAATATCCTGAGAGTGCACATGAGATTTTTAAACAGTATTAATTGTTGTTCTGTTTTTGTGGATGTGGAAGAAAGAGACACACCGTCCTGCTTTCAGGCAACCTGCACAAGCATTCTGAATTCTGCAGCAGGCAGTGTTATAGACTCTAACGCCAGAGCGCTCCAGTACTGCACATGCTATTATCCTCGTTATTCACAGATTCCAAATCTGCAAATTCACCTACTTCTAGCTTTTATGAGCACCCCAAAATAAATAGTGTCATTTTGTGGTCATTCACGGACATTTACAATGCCGCTGCTTGTTTGAATCACGCAATGCATATGTGCAGACACACACACTCACACACACACACACACACACACACACATATTCCCAGCTGAGGTCAGTCAAGGTGATGCTCTCTTTTCTTGTTTCAGCTACCATCCTGTAATTGAGCACTTTCTGGGGTCAAATTAGTGCCATGCTTTTCACATTTCCGTGATTCTTGGCGATTGTTTAAAGTAGTCCCAGGCGTAGGGCTGAGGAAGAGTCTAGTGTCCCTACGCACAAGTGGCTGTGAGTGGACTTAGGGAAAATGTACATGAGACATCAGCTTCATTCAGGCATGAGTTATATGGCCATGGGTGCTGAAAATGATACTCATGTTTCCAATATAAAGTTCATCGGAAACCTGAAGACAAAACTCGTTGCTGCACATGGGATGCAGCCTTGGAAACTTGCCTTAATTCCAAATACAGCCAGGCAAGTGGGGGCTTATGGCCAAGAAGACGGTGAGGTGGAGTGGACTGGAAATTATAAACAGAAGAAATACAAGCTAAGGGGATTCTGGTTACATAGACTGAAAAGGATTCTTGCTAAAGAGAGACCAGGGTGATCAGATACCGTGTGGGTGATAGGAGGTTTGATGGCTTCAAATACTGCGAGTGATCAGAGTTCAAGGGTAGGGGATTCTCATTATTCTCACTTAGCAGGGCTCTTGACAAAACCTGGCCATGCACATATAGACACAGAAGCCCACAGGTCAAGACTACTTGAGAAGAGAATTACAAAGATCCTGTTGGCAAAGAGGTGGTCAGGTGTCTTTGTCACACTTAAGAAGAGGAATAATGAACAGACAAGTAAACCACGGATGCACACAGACACACAGAGAAAAGACCATCTGAGGTTTCAGTGAGAAGAGGTCCATCTGCAAGCAAAGGAGAAAGGCCTCAGAAGGACCCAAACCTGCTGACACTGTGACCTTAGACTTCTAGCCTCCAGGCCTGAGAGGAATCCATTGCTGTTGTTTAATCCAACCAGTCTGTTATTCTGTAATGGCCACACTAGCCAACGAGTACACCTATAATATAGACGCAGATAGACATATATGGAAATGTAAGTATCGTATTGGAAAATAAACATCACCCATTCTTCAGAGGTGACATGAAGCTGTGTCCACTCTGGATCTCAGCCAGCACCCTCCTCCAGAGCCCTACAGAAGGACCAGCCATGACCATCTTTATATGGAAACATGCTTCCCACCTGCACATCACACCCAAGCTCAAGGGGAAATCACAGCACCTGTGCTACTCAGAGTCAGGGTTCTCATCTTCACTGACATAACTCTCTGAAAGTCAAAGCACTGATCAAAATGAACATGAAAATCTTCTGGTCATTCCTCCTCTTGCTGCCATCCCTCAGCTGTGAGCATCTCCTGGGTCTGAGGAACGTGGAGTTACAGGGTGACATCTGTGAAGTGGGTGTCTCTTTGTTTCTAGTTCCCCAGGTGTCCTGTCCCAGGTGCTGGTGCAGGAATCGGGCCCAGCACTATTGAAGGCCCTCTCCCTTACCCGCTCAGTCTCTGGATTCTCCATCACAAACAGTGCTGACTGCTGGGACTGGATCCCTCAGTCCCCAGAGAAAGGGCTGGGGTCTCTGGGGTGCTTTGGTTCTGGAAATAGAACAGCATACAAGATGTCTCTCCAGAAATGACTCTCCACCTCCAGAGACACCTCACAAATTTAGTTTTTCCTGCAGCTCATCTCCGTGATGACCTAGGACACAGCCCTGTGTTACTCTCCCAGGAGGCCCAGTTAGAACTCCGGGTGAGTCCACACATGACCCTCCCTGCAGTGGCCACTCCAACCACCAGGGTGCGATCAGGGTCATCAGGAAACAAGAGGACCCATTTCAGGGCAGGTGCAGAGGATGGGATGGAGGGATTTTCTCTCCGAAGCTGTGGTTTCTCCACTGGATCATGGCCACCCCTGGAAGCCTCATCCACAATGATTCCAGGGAACTTTCTTGTCTCTAAACTTGAGACTTTTTCATGGAGTCAGGCTTGTCTGTGTTTCCCCATCTATCTTTGGAAGAGCCGCACAGAAATGTTTTTTCATGAGACCTTTATTTGAAGATTAGGTCACTACTTTCTGTTATTAGTTGTCAAGTTTTTAATCGTTTAATGACATAAATAATTTTTACTCTTGAACTTTAAGTCTGCTTTCCACCATCAGATGGATTTCCAATTCCTCTCATCCTGAAAATCTTTCCAGTCCTGTCTGATGCAATGCCTTTCACTTGAATAGTATGAGTCATGTTGATATTCGGAAATTGATGTCCATACAGCACTGCAGTCATTTTCTGCTCAGAGGACCTTTGGAAATGTCGGGACACAGGCTGGGCTGTAACATATGGGCTGTGTTTCCTGTACCTTTTTATCTAGTGTGGACATTGGTAATAAATAATTAGATAAAACAGAGAGATAGATAAAAGAGAAAAGAAAGAAGTATATCCTAATCATATGGAAAATAACCATAAAAACTGACTACATAACCCATTTTTAGGGAGTGGTAAAGGCTCGAAGGTGTAAAGGTGATACAAGAACCTGTATGAAGTTATTTGTATTAACATAAATATTTTCAAAACTTTTTAAAATACGTTTCTAGCTGGCTCCTCAATCCCATGGTGAGTGTCTGGTTTTCTCTCTAAGAAATTGACAAATATATTCCAATTGGCGGCCATTGGCATTCCTTCCAGCAAGTGGATGAGGGGCCTTTTGCACTACATCATCCCCAATATTTGAATTTCTTATTATTTTGTGCTTTAACTGTTGTAATAAGTGAGTAGCAATATCACATCATCGTGTTATTTTATGTTTCCTTAATGAAGAATCTTGCTAAAACCTTTTATCTCTTCTTTGTGGAAGTATCTACAGATCACTGGCAAAGTGTTCATTAATTAGCCAGGCCTCAGATGAGTCGTGGATCCTTTTCTGGAGAATAGCATTAACAACCTAGACCCATAAGCTAAAGGACCTTGGAAATATATCTGTGTGCTCTACCCCACGTATATACACACACGTCTGCAACTAGCTCTGTATCTCACCTTCTGACCTGTGTGAAGGTAAAAGTGAGATCATTCTTACATCTCCGATCCTAGTGCAACATCACTTGGGGAAATCCAGCCTTTCCCCCTTGCTTGTCTGTTACTTTCCACCCAACAGTGAGGAGCCTGACTCCACCGATGCCATCCAGCTACTAATTGTTCAATTCCACATGCACAGTAGTAACAGAATTCTTATCGTGACTCCTGATGGAAATACCGTTATCCACCAGGCTCTAGTGCTTACGTGCAGTGGCTTAGAACTTAGCCTTCAGACTCCACTCATTTGCAAAGTCACTTAGGTCAAAACCTATTTTTCCACCTTCTTCGGACATGTTAATTCATAAATTCACTATAATATTAGATATCATCTATACAGTGTGCATCGGTCCATCCTTGAGTCGCTGACTTATAGATGAAATTTATATTTATATTCCATAAGGTTCACTCTTTCTGCTATTACTTTACATATTTTGACAAGTTCATAGTGCAATGTTTCCACCACTGCAATTTCATTGAGAGGAATTTCACTGTCCTTAAATATTGTCCATGTTTCACATATCAAACATCTTCTCCCCAATTCCTGCTAAATGCTCATCCGCTTGCTTTATATATAGACTGAAGTTTTCCCAAGTGTGAAATAGGTGAAATTGAATGTTTTCAGACCGGTTTTTTAATTAGCAATATGCATTTAGGATTCCCTCATGTCCTTTCATGGTATAATAGTTTAATATTTAGATTGCTGAATACAATTTCACAGCATGGATACATCACTCATTATTTATCTGCTAATTTATGGAAGAACGTATTTGTGGCTTCCATTTTTTCTCAGTTGTAAATGAAGAGACCACAGTAATTCATGGGAAGTCTATGATGAGCTCTAAGTATCAAGTCACTTGTGTAAATATTACGAGCATGACGTTGGGGTCCTACATGAAGCTCTGTCTAGGTGTGTAAGTGACTGCGGGGAGGAAGGGCTCTGGTACAGAGACCGCTCAGCTGACCCAGGCCTCGTGCTGAAAGGAAGTCAGAGCCCAAGCAGTGTCCACACGAGGTGGACACAAGGCCCAGCCCTCAGACCCGGCTGAGCCCCCAGGCTACAGTCAGGGTCACCCTCCCTTACACGTGAGTGTGCATCACAGGAGCAGGTCCTGCAGCTGAACTTGAGCCTCTCACAGCGACCCGGCATGGGGCAGGGTGGGCTTCTCTTCCAGGCCCTCCGTAAGCAGAGACAGTGAACAAAATAAAGAGCTGCTGTCAGTAGAAACTGTCAGGGGTTGTGGCAGGGTTTTGTGCGTCAGTCAGCACCTG